TGAAATATTTACATTATCTTTACCATAGTAGTAAACAAAAAAATTTGAATTATTTCAATATTTTCTTTTTCTAGTACCTTGATTTAGTCATACTCAAATTATGCACAGTAATTATTTTAAAATGAAAACTTTTGAACTATTAAAACAGTAACACTACTATAGCATTATGAAATACTATAATATTGTGGTGTTATATTATAAAAATAATGGCAATTAAGATGGAAGGAAAAAAGCTTCATGCACAATTCCAAGTCAAGAAATCAACATATTTGTTGTTGTCAAAATAACAGTTTGTGTGTTTTTATTGGTTTTGCCTGTAGACTTCATAATCTATGCAGAGTTAAAAATCAATGTCTTAAAATTTTTAAATAAGCAGTCATTTTCTTGTTTCATAAACGTGTGATTTAAAAACTTATCCCATTATCTGGATAATCTATGAAGTTAATGTTTTACTCCAAAGAAAATATTTATAGCTTAGGAAGAAAAATTATTTTCTAATAATGTTTGATAAATGAGAGATCCAGGATTATAAAAAAAAATGCTATGCCATCGTTTTTTTTAAAGTTTAGACTATAGAGTTTTAAAGTTTATTTTCCATCACTTCCTATCTTACAGTGCTCTAGGCTGGAGGCAAAGCTTTTGGACTTTGCAAGCCCCGGGAACTTCAATTGTTAAGATTCCCTCTTAGAGGCTATTGATCCTACAACATATTCGTTAACTCTTCTTTCCGTTATCAGTCACCTTTTAATTGGAATTTGTTTTAGTAAATTATGGGGAAATATACTTTCAAATGCATAGTAAACAAGGTCGATATCATTAAAAATAAAGGTGTGATTAGATTGTGTTGAATTAAGTAAAATGGCAAGGCAACCACATATGACCAATATCTCTTGTGTCTTGTCCATCTAAATTACGTTGGAGCTTACCTCCTGAACTATCTGGCAACTGAGTTGGAAGGGTGATGAGGGAAGAGCAAGACACAGATGGTGGTAGACAAAATGGACTAAGATCTATTGCTGTTATTGATATCACAGTGAAATATTTGTAGATTGGCTTTTCAAGTAGTTTTTTTTCATTGAAAAGTTAATTTATCTCTTAGCATACATATGAAAATTTTTCTTTTTGTGTGCCAAATGGAAGCAAACTTCTATAGATGCAAGAGGAATCACTAACAAGAGTAGAAAGATAGAGTTGACAGATGAAACTGGGAACATCTTACATGTCTCAGAAATGAAGAAAATCTATATGTCCTAGAATTATTGGTCATAGTAAATATGTAAGAAAACTTAGAAACTAAGCTGAAAGAGTTACAGATCAAGGAGATTTGACAGCTATTATTTTATTACGAAGTTTCATATTACATATGTATATTAATGTCTATGTGATTAAACATATAATTCAGTACAATCGTTTAATTCTCACAAGACTTTGACTTTCTTGAATTCAAGGTTATCACTAGGGTTCTTTGTAATAGTTATAATGAAATTATCATAATAATTCTAATAGCTACCAAGTATCCACTGTTTTCACTCTCTAGGTATTATGCTTTACTTACATGTTTCCATTTGATATGTTCATAATCCACTGAAGTAGAAATTGTTGTCTGTATTTTACATATGAAGAACTTCAGGCTCAGTCAGTTCACACGAATGGTGGTCTTTTTTTTTTTTTTTTTTTTTTTTAAGTTGGAGTCTCACTCAGTCGCCCAGACTGGAGTGCAGTGGCTGCTCCGGCCACCGCAGCCTCGACCTGCTGGGCTCCGGCGATCCTTCTGCCTCAGCCTTCCAAGTAGCCGGAATTACAGGTATGCGCTACCACGCCCAGCTGATTTTTTGATTTATTGTAGAGATGAGGTCTCGCTGCCCAGGCGGGTCTCGAACCCGCGGGCTCAGGCAATCCACTCACTTCAGCCTCCCAAAGGCGCGGGATTACAGGCTGAGCCGCCGAGCCCGGCGAATGGTGGTCTTAGAGGTAAGCCTGACCATGCTGGAAGCCACTGGCACCATGACACAAAGTGACAAGAGCCTATGACAGAAGAATTACTTAGTACAGCTAATTGTCAATGTCATTGTTGTCTTAAGAGGCTGCAAATATGTAAGCATATGAAATAAATGTAAATGCTTAGAATAAGAAATAATAATAGACAAAAAACATAGTTTAGAAATCTCCAAACATTGGTGATTTAAAATTGCAGTTTAAAACTGTTTTCTTATGACCTCCAGTCAGTTATCAGGACTTTGTGGCTCTATTAATATATGATTATGCATTTAATTAAATCTGAATTTTAATTACTTCTCTTATAATAAAGATATAGATAATATCAATCAAGGATGATATATAATACCTATCAAGTATTTTATTTACTGAGAAGCATATTAGCATATTTTCATTACTTACTTCAAATATCTTGGGAGATATTTTTAAAGTTTCTGGTTAAGTCATTGAATGCCATGCTGTCTCCGAGTTTAGAAGATCTCTCAGATCCTGGGAACATCAATAGGGACAACATGGCCATTTAGTCGCAAGCAGTTTCTGCTTCTGAATTATACTTCTATTTCTGCTTAATCTCATATCATGATCAGATCCCAATGATATTGATTGGGATAATGAATATTCTGATGATGAATATTCAGATCTCAATGAAATTGATATTTGCTTTCTGATAATTTTATACAGTACTTAACAAAAATCAAATGCTTATCAGAAAATAAATATTCATTCAATTAACACCTTAATTCTTTTTCAGTGTAAGTTTGCAAGAAACTTTTGGTCTAAATAACAGCGCCTGACGTTATTTCTCCCAGCTAGGCCCTAGAAATGTCTTCCTTTGTGCCAGCTTATTTCTTTGCTACAAAGTTTGGAAAAAGGAACTTCTCAAGAACATTTATTTTCCTTTTGTGACAATTCATAAACTTGGTACTATTAAACAGAGTCTCATTAGGCACAATTTATCTGGCAACATGACCTTCTATCTACAGCTTAACCTTCTATACTGATCTTTGTAAAAGCTGTCAAAAACACATTTTTTTAAGAACTAAAGTTTTTATTTTATTTTTCTAAGAATATGTAGTTATAACATATCTGGCTTAAGTGTTTGGCTAGTGTTGTCACAAATTATAACAAATCATTCATCATATAGATAAATACATTTTTGTACATGTAGCATGAAGAAAGAAAATTTGACTAACCTCTTCCAAAAGCCATAATGATGACGTTTCTTCTTAGTCCACTTAACGTTTCTTGACCTTGGTGATCACAATGAGCACCACCCGTTTTAAGCATCTATGTCATTAGGCATTTTAACTTCACAGTACAAGTCAGTGGTTAACTGTGCTTGCCAAAATCTTACATAACCCTAGGAAAAACGGGGAGTATGCATCATTGTAAAGTTCACAGTATAGAATCCAAAGTAACATCAACATGAGGCTGAGTTGGTACAAAGCCCTACTTATGCAAATAATTCAATTTAATTATGGTTTGCCCTGTAACCTGCAAATTTTGGAAAATGGACAAAATAGGGTAGGAAACAGTTTAGGAAATTTGCTAATGTATCTTCACAAAGGGTATGGAATTAATTTAAATGTGTATTCTGAACGTATGGTTTCTTCAAGGTACTTGTATTTGAGATAAAGTTAGTAATAAAAACTGTTCACTTTTAATACACCACATGTGTGGAGTTTAGTTTTTAACCAAAATATAAGATTAAAAGGACAGTGTCAACACATAAAAAATATTTTTTAAAAAAGTGCCCTCAGTGGAAGTTTTGCCATGATAGTGCCATGGTATTATAATGGATATTTTGAACTTGAGCTTCACCTTACTTATGTCACATGATATGCACAGATATTACCATGCACAAATATCATCCATCGAGGTACATCAAGTTCAGAAGAAAATGCTAGTTGATATCAGGAATACCAGTTATGCTTATATTTTACCCAAAGCCATTCTATTGCAATTAAAAAATACGTTATTGCAAATGAATAAGAAGCAGTACAGTAAGCCGCACGATATAACTGATTTGACTTTTGTTTCATGTGAAATAAACATTTATCTTTTGTTTAAGATTTTAATTGCTGTCTACCTTTTCCTTTACCACTAATTCACGGTGCATTTTTTTAAACTTACACCCTCTGTACATCTTTTATGAAGATTGTACTATAGCTTGTTGAGTTGCTGAATACGTTTACAAGAAATGCTAGACAAAACATGTTCTCACCAGGAAATTCCTGAACTCTCACATTTTATGGTCATAGAGAGCAACAGTTTGTAGGTTTGGAAAATGACCTGAGTTCAACTGTTGTCCTAACAAATCTTTTGATGTTATCTGTATATTGGCTCAGAACACTGCACTGCTAACTCACAGAGATCAGCAGTAGCATGTTTTATCACTTCTTATTTCTATGAATGACATTCATGGGGAAGGGAATATATAGTTCATGTAGAAATGATTCAAATATTCTTGAAAACTTTAAACAGTTTATAATTAGCAATAGAAATATATAAGAAAACATAAAAATGAAATATCAAATGGAAGTTTATAAGGCTAAAGTTTTAACTTTAAATTCCTAATTAAATCTACACACTCTACTCAAATTCAATGAGAAATGTGTTTCTCAGATAGCTATTCTGGAAAAACAAAAGGAGCAAAAATTTTTCTGCAGTGTTTTTACTAGAAGATATAGCAACAATTCAGATTACAGAATAATTTCAGTGTCACTGAACATTTTTATAATAATAATTAATTTCACAAGGCAACCCACAAAGTAAGTTTTAAAAAAAGTTAACATAGCCTGAGATAACGAATTTGAGAAGTTGTACTTTCCTTCTTGTGAAGTTTAGTGCCCGGATCACCCATAAAATCAACAAGGTTTATTGGAGTTGGAAATGCTGCAGTGAATTCTAGAAGTGTGTTCAGAAAACAACACTTTCTAGCTGCTGAACGGTGGCCCTGGTGGGCGCGGGGTGCAGAGCCAGCAGCGCAGGTTTCCGCGTGGCGCCTGACGGACAGCAAAGGCTTTGATGAATACATGAAGGAGCTAGGAGTGGGATTAGCTCTGCGAAAAATGGATGCAATGGCCAAGCCAGATTGTATCATCGCTTGTGATGGCAAAAACCTCACCATAAAAACCGAGAGCACTTTGGAAACAACACAGTTTTCCTGTACCCTGGGAGAGAAGTGTGAAGAAACTACCGCTGACGGCAGAAAAACTCAGACCGTCTGCAACTTTCCAGATGGCGCGTTGGTTCAACATCAGGGGTGGGATGGGAAGGAAAGCACAATAACAAGAAAGTCAAAAGATGATCCATTAGTGGTGGACTGTGTCATGAACAATGTCCCCTGTACTCGGGTCTAGGAAAAAGTAGAATAAAAATTCCATCATCACTTTGGACAGGAAGTAGCTATGAGAATGAACGAGCTCGGTTCAATGAGCAAATCTCCATAATGCTTCTTTTTTTTTTTTCCATTACTGTGTTCGGTTATCTTTATCACAAACCTTTTACATACAATTATTTCAAAGTGTTGATTTAATTAGGATCATCCCTTTGGTTCATAAATAAATGTGTTTGTGCTAGTAAAAAAGAAAAAGAAAACACCACTTTAACTTCCATCTATGCTACAAAGCAACTTCACAAAGGTGCTTGCTGTTTTATGCATCATTTATCTCCCAAAGGTTCAAACTTAAAGATCCTTATATGACTGCAGCTATAAAAGCACATCTGCCATCTTAAAGTAGATTACAATTTCCTATATACAGTCAAGGAGCAATTTCCAAGCCTTAAGACTCCTTCCACATGTAGTCAAAAAAGTCACACTGCAAATAAATTTTAAACTGGGAAATTAAGGTTAGAATCAGTAAAGGTTTAGGAGACTTTATTCAACATACTGTTGGTGCCTAATTTTAATATATCTTGCTTCTATTAAATACCCAGTGATTCATCACAGAAACAAAGATCTGAGTACTACATGTACTCACTCATAAGTGGATCTTGAACGTTTATCATAAAACTATAATAAAGGGATTGGCCGTAGGGGAGGGGGGAGCACATGACATCAATAAGGGCACCCAAAGTTTACCTGCACAATGACCACTTATGTACCTAACCCTGAATTGTACCCCACATCTTTAAAATAAAAATAATCATTAAAATAAAGGAATAAATCAGTAAATATTGAAAAATGAATGACAGAAAAAAACAGATAAATTTTCTTCTAAAGGAAAAAATAAAATAAATGATTTTATCTTTTGTGCAATGTGATTTGTTTTCATTTAGCAACTATAAGTTAGACAACCCTTATTAACCCAACAAATTGTAGTAGTACTTGGCATATAAGGAGGCTTGATAATTGGTTCTCATAATAACTGTGTGTGCTATCAAAATTTACATATCAGCTTAGCATGTTGTATAACTAACACATAGATGTGCCAGAGATACGCTGACGTTATTCCATATTCGTATATGGTCTATAAATTGCATTGTTTATTTTTACCTCTTAAAGTAGCCTTGTAAAACAAAATTAAACTCTCTAAACACCAAGAGGAACAAAATCATCTGGGATTTTCCCAGAAACAATTGCCAGATGATCCTCCTTCCTTCATGCACTTACTACTACTCCCATATTATTAATGAAGCACTGATAAAATCAAACCATTCGGCTCTCAATTAATCAGTAGTTCACATGACAAAGCCCTGTTTTACTGGGACCTTATTAGGCATCCTGATTTGCTTATCCAAATCAGTGTTTGTGCAAAAATCTTAAAGGCAGGCTGATCCAAATAACTGAGTGGTGTTTAATTGTAACATGAAGCAATGCAATGTGACTAAAATAATCTATAACTATGTTTTAAGAGTAAATTCTATTAAAGACCTATTTATTTAAACCAAAGAGACATCTTATTTTGCTGAGTAAAGATTAAGGCACGTCGTGAATTTTTTGTTTTTTGACACAGCACAACTGCCTGTTGATAAAAGCCATGTTTCTTTGCCCCTTTAAGTTTCCTTTTATTCTTCTCTTTTTAATGAACACGATGTATTTCGTTCCTGTTTCCTACATCTTTGGGCAGCATGCTTTTCAAAGAATTTTTCTCAAAGAATTCATGAAGGTTCTTTGAAATGGTTTTATAACAGAAAGATTTATAAATTTGCACATTTTCCTAGATTTTGTCAAAACATCATTTATTATTTATTTGCATTACCCTTGGGAATTAGGTCTTCACAGGGCAAACAGAGCTTGTGAATTAAGAGTTTGGCTTAAGGTCTTTAGTTTTACTTTTCAAAGCACCTCAAAACCAAATCATCTTTTGTGGCAGAGGTTTTTGATCACAACACTGACACAATAACATATAGCTATCAGTTGTGGGGGGCGATCCAAGTTATTTGTTACAAATAATACTGTTTAGCTTTCTGTGAATTGCTTTCAGGTCCCTAATGATGGCAGACTTTTTCAAAAGCATCCCAGAGTGTGTTTCAGTTGGGAGACAGAAGGGTACAGTCGATGCAAGTGTGTTAGGAATTGTTCATTGCAGTGAAACCACTTTATGTACACTTCAGACTAAAGTGAGGGATCATCACAAGTACCGTTCATGGTTGTGAAAATTATGAATTGTTGTAGAACATTCTAGGTGTAATTTTATTGCTTATTCTGCTTTATTTATAGATACAGTTTTAAAGGGGAGGAGACAAGGTGAAATAAAGAAAATAAGAGTTTTACCAGTGTGCATGGGGTTGCCACAAACTCTATGGATGCCAAAGTGTATTAATAATAGTTGAAGTCTACAGATTGCTATCAGGAATGGCCAAATAATCCTTGAGCCAGAAGTTCAAAAGAACATGTAGAATATTGAAAATTTATTATAAAAATTTGGATGCATAGGGCAACCCCTTCGGGTCCCCTCCCATTGTGGGAGCTTTTCTGTCCTCTCAATAAATTCTGCTTTCTAAAAAAAAAGAAAAAACTTAGATGCATAAAAACATTATCGTTATTTCATGTGAATTAGAATGATACTAAGAATTATGGCATAATCAGTAATTCAAAATAAATGATGTAATTAAATTAATATTTCTGTTCATATTTATATATCCTAAAAATATCTAAATTGCAAAGTTTTTTTACGTAGAGAATGATATATGATTTACTTATTCTACATGTGCCCTTCATCCAGCTTCAGCAATGATCAACTGATAGCTAATTGTATTGTATCTATTCTACCAACCACTTGATATTTCGTTTTTATGTTTTCTTATATATTTCTATTGTTAATTATGTACTATTTTAAAAAGATGTATATACAAATATATACACTTTTCATTTCATAATAGTCAACATTTTTTAAAATAGAAAAGAAAGAAAAATAACCCACATTCCACCAGAGCCAGTTTTATAAATTAAGGTTTATAATGCAATTTTAAATGCTATTTAGCCAAGAAAAATGAACTACATCTGCATATCCAAAAATGGAAAGATGGCTAAGATATATTACTGAGTGAAACAACTTTAATGTTTATAGAGAGAATATAGAAAACAATACCAATTGTTAGCAATAATTATCTTTGAGAAATGAGACATATAAGAATATGTACATCTGTTTTGGGAGAGGCATCATATAACATGCAATTGTGCATGGTTTGGATTTTTACAATATATTTACATTTCAATTTTTTTAGGGATTTGAATTTTTCTTTAAGAATTGCACCTGGACATTATTAAAATAATTTCCATCTGGTAATAACATGCCTGAATCTTAGATAATAGGTCAGAAATGAAATTAGATATGAAATAAAGTTCATTTTTGCTCAACTGAGAAAACAAATAATAAATTTCAACACATAGATAAAAGATCAAAGTTTTAATGCATTTAACAGTCATGCCATATAATAAAAGGAATTATACACTGATGAGAGTATAATCAAGTTTATTACAGTTCTTTAGTTTTGCCAAATTGTAACAATTATCTTTTAGCACTGCTCCAAGTTATCTCAAACGTTTAAAAAAAAAAAAAAAAGCCGGGCTTGGTGGCTCAGCCTGTAATCCCGCGGCTTGGGAGGCTGAGGTGAGTGGATTGCCTGAGCCCGTGGGTTCAAGACCCGCCTGGGCAACTTGGTGAGACCTCATCTCTACAATAAATAAAAAAATTAGCCGGGCGTGGTAGCGCGTGCCTGTAATTCCGGCTACTCGGAAGGCTGAGGCGGAAGGATCGCCGGAGCCCGGCAGGTCGAGGCTGTGGTGGCCGGGAGCGGCCACTGCACTCCAGTCTGGGCGACAGAGTGAGACTCCAACTCAAAAAAAAAAAAAAAAAAAAAAAATAGGGAAGGAGAGGAAAGTAGATTCAGTAAAACAAGGGTAAGAAAATCAGGCATATTTTATGTTTACATAGTGCATATATGTACAAAATTATCAGAGGGAAGCTTACCTTCTTCAGATAAATGTAATTTTTAGCACTATACATACTTTAAAAAAATAAAGATGTAGTTCTCATTGAAATGGACAACTACAGGATTTTAACTATCATGATGTGCTATTATGGATATTTAAATTCTTGGCATTGGTGGAGTTCTGAAAGGGTTTGGATCTTACAGTTTAAAATTCAAAAAAATAATCTGGTGTTCAGTTTTGTTCAAGGTATAATCTGCATAGGTCACATTGTGGATTGAACCCCAGGTGTACAGACGGTGTTGATGTGAGTATTTCAGGCTCCAGGGACACATGGCCAGGGCGGAGTGCACATCCCCACTTGACCTCTAATTCTGTTTTAGGTTTACTCATTGGTGAAACAAGATTTCAGTCTTATATGTTTTAGACTTCTACTCTTAAATATCACATGCTGCAAGACTCTAATTAGTCAGTATAAAATTGATCAGGATGAAAATAGCAAATATCAGTTACATGTGTGGTGAAACATTTAATTGCCAAATTCTAATTGCATTAGGCACCAAGTCATGGAAAGATGGACTAAGCTAGAAAATATGCTCTTTCGCAGAAATCTAAGAATCAGACGCTTATAGGTAATTTTGATCAGCAAAGTGTACTGGACTTAAAGCAATAGGAATGATGGGAGTTGTGGCAGAGATGCCCTGAATCCAGCTGCTATTTTGCCCTGTGGGAATGTAGACCATGTTGAGTTTTGGTTTTTTTTCCCAAAAGAAGTCAACAATTTCATAAAATTTCCCAATTTTTAGGATTTTGTGACAGTTAAACAAAATATGTGGTTTAAATTCAGGCTTACTTGCCCATCAGTGGCCCCCACTTCTAGGCTATGTCTGTTTAAACAGTTGTAATTAGTGGTATCAAGTCATTTCCCCTTGGGTGTATCTGTGGTTTTGAAGATCACATCTTGGAAATGAAATGAATCATAAG